TCAAAATGGCATGAATTTTTAAGTTCTGTATATATTATATATTTACTACTGAGAGAATTATACTACCAGATTTTTTAATAATATTATTTTAAAAATTAAAAAAAAATTAGTCACTTCTTTTGATTTCGACCGACACTCGCAGATTTAACACTGTCAGACTAAACCTCCGTTAGAACATATGTACCTTTGTTTTTGCTTGGCTAATCCATGAATACTAATACCGCATCCCAGTCGTGCTGCGAGTTGGCGGCGTGAGATGATCCACTACCCCATATCATCCCTTGGGTATTTTAAAGAGAGGACGGCCAAGCGTGGCAACCGGCCACTATGGCAATTTTTTTTATAGAATAAAGTGACAAACGAGCACGCAGTCCTCGGGTAAGTGGTGTGGCCCATAGACATCTGCATCTATCCTCGATTACGAATAAAAATGCAGATGCGTTGTCACCCGTGAGGACTAAGATGGAATGAATCGTTTCCAGTAAAAAGTGTCTCCGGTTCTCTACGCTCACCATAGGAAACACAGCCGCATTAAGCTACTATTTGACGCTGGTATTCTGTGAGAGCGTGGTCCTTCTCCGGTCGAGCCGACCCATTCGTGCTACAACTATACTACTAATATAATTGCAGCTATATATATATATATATATATATATATATATATATATGTATGTATGTATGTATAATATGGGGGGGAACATATTCAGTAGTGGACTTTTTTACAGAATGAGGGTAGCAAATGATCATAAAGAACACCTTATGGTAAGCCCATACTGTGGCTCATAAGCATCTAAATTTATCATCGATTAAGAATCTAAATGCAGATGCGCTGTCACCTCTGAGTACAAGGTAAGATGGAATGCCTTATTTTCAGTAAAAAGGGTTTTCGGTTCTCTACACTTACATTACGAAACACAGCAGCCTTAAGCTTTAAAGTCGTTGGACTTGAGTGAAAGACGAGTACACAGCCCACCTGATGGTAAGTGGATACTGTGACCCATAGACATCTACATCTATCCTCGATTACGAATCAAAATGCAGATGCGTTCTCACCCGTGAGGACTAAGATGGAATGCCTTGTTTCCAGTAAAAGGGATTTCGGTTGTCTACACTCACCATACGAAACACAGGATGGACACAGTCGTAGTATATGGGTGACAAACGAGCACACATTCCACCTGATGGTACTCGTAAGGTGGTTGCTGTGGCCCATGGACTACATACATCTGTCTACATTTATCATTTTTATCATATTTATCCTCGATTATGAATTAAAATACAAACCAGCGTAAAATGAAACGCTTGTTGTCAAATTTTACGCTGGTCTGTGAGAGCTTGGTGCTTCCCCGGTCGAGCCAACCCATTCGCGTTCTAACCATAATATAGCTGCAGCGTGACTCTACCACGTAAACTTTTGCTTTACTTAAGGCTGTAATGGAATGAATACCATTCGAAGAAATAGTAATCATCACATCACATCACACTGAATACCAGCGTTAAATAGTAACATAATATTGCCGCGTTTCCTATTGGCGAGTCCAGACCCTTTTTACTGGTAACAACCAGTTCTTTTTCAGTTCTCATACACGAGGCCTATATATACAATGATATAACTAGAAGGAAATGGTGTGGCAGATATAAATAAATATAAATTTAATTAAAAAAATCTTTTGAAATGGTAAAATAGCTCGATGAACCGACAACCATAGGGGATGAAAGGCTCTTGATTTACCAGTAATACTAGTAAAGGCAGTTTAGGGTAATCCCCCGCTAGATGACGACCCAATAAGACATGCAGTTAGTAGAGCTCAAGACCTTGTGGTTCAGCAGTAGACTTATGATAACATGTAATGATGGCGTTGATGAGAAAGAAAAAGGAAAGAAGATATCTTTATTATATGCATATTTTATATTATTGCAGCAATGAATATCTGTATGCTGCTGTGAAAACTACATCAGTTGTTTAACCAACTTGGTAGTACCCTTATCTATAACTCACGAGCACCAGCCATACAAGTTTTGTCTACGAGACATTTAATAAAGAACATTAAAAATAGAAAAAAAAGAATATAATAAAATAAAATGTGATAAAACTAAACATTGATAAACTATATAAAACATACATATACATACATAAGCACTCACGCCTGTCACCCAGAGGGGTAGGCAGAGACTACAGACTCCCATTTGGTACGATCCTGACACACCTCTCTCGCCTCCTTCACATCCATATACATATGCATACATGCTCGTCGGTTGTGGGTACTCCTAATTTGGCCCGTTTTCAAAACATCGCTAATTTGGTCGATTAATTTTCGCCTAGGACATCCCTTTCCGACTCTGCCATTCACTTCTGCAACAAAAATTTTTTTGTCACTCTTTCCTCATTCGTTCTTTCCACATGACCAAACCACGGAAGCATTCCTTTCTTAACCCTGGTCACAACATCATCTTGTCACAAAATTTCTCACTCTTCTCTTATCACAAAATTTCTCACCCTGTCATCCAGATTCAGCCCTAACATACTCCTTAACGGCCGCATAAAAAGAACATTATTTTTTACGAATAAACGAAATTTATCATTTTATATCAAACTTTTTTTTTTAAACACTTGTATGTTTCTTAAGTTTTGTTTTTTCTGCAATATTATAAATACCTATATAATATTTATAACCATTGACTCTTAGAAAATGTAAGTTTTGAGTATAAGTTCCGACGTGGGAACAATGCGTCTCTATTCTCGTAGCACCACTAACGACCGAACAACCGAACTGTGCGTAATTGGTTCAATGGTTTTCATTCTAGAAATTTTGACCTCACAAATAAACCTTGTTACCTCCCGGAGAAGTTGATTGATATTAACAAACTGAACGCAAAAGTGGAAGCGGATCTATCTCAAATTACGGCTTAGTTTGCATCAGTTTTTGATGGAAGTATCAAAACAATATTAGATCATTTTTCAAGCTTAAAAAATACTATCTCACGATGTCAGGGACGCACAGTTGATGACAGAGATGTTCCTCATCCATCATATTCTCCAGACCAATAGACTTCTACTTTTTCCGACGTTTAGATAACTTTTTGATTGTCAAAAATTTTAATTTCGAAGTAGCAGTAAATACTGCCTTTAAAGAATTCATCGATTCTCGTGCAACAGACTTGTATAGTAAAGGCATCAGCAAAGTGCCAATAAAACAATTAGAATATGTTCATAATTGTAGGCAACAATTTAAAAAAAAAAAACTAATTATTTTCCTATATAAAACGCCAGATATATTGGCAAAGAATTAATATTATTATTTTTAGAAAAGTCCTAAACAGTGATAGTGTTGTTTATATTCGTCAGAATGGTTTTATTTTAATATCGGATATATAATATTTACGACTATAAAATCTAAAACTAAAATCACAAGATATCAACTTACTCGTAGCTTTTATACTATAAACATAAAAATAGTATTATATGTATGTTAATATCTGAGGAAACTCCAGTAAACTTTTTGTTTTGCTATTTTAAGCCAGTGTCTGACTATTAACCCACCTGATGGTAAGTGGTGGTGCCGTACCGTAGATGGTAAAGCGCACTAACTTAGCTTAATATTATCGATAGTAGAAATGAATTTCGTTATATAAAATTTTAACACATTTACTAAACATATTGGTAACGTTATTTTTTTAGATTTTATTGTGTTTAACATTAATAGGTCACGAGGCACCCCAACGTCGAGAATTAAAAATAAAAATAATTAAATATTAAGCGCGATAAATTGGTAAAATTAGTTTTATACATTTGTTAGCGTTAATTAATTAAAAAAGGCACTGCATAATTTATATTGTCTTCAAACGTAAATAAGAGTTGTTCAAATTCGAGCACCGATTGAGCAACCACTTGTTGAAACTGAACACTTTTTGTTTTAGTAAAGTCGACGGCGACGGTAATATTACTTTTACTGTTTCTATAATAAATTTTCAGCAAAAGTTGGTAAGCTTAATAACCTCAACTAAATGGCTTAAGGATTTACAAATACCTAAATATCTAAATAGTTTTAAGACTAATTATAAAATATATTAAATTTAATTAATAACACCTAATTGATTGATTTAAAAAATATTTCTGTGTTTCTTGTATTGAGTATTGGACATATCAACAGTGATTTCTGTTTTTAGAAATAAAACTAATTTTTGTTTTTAAAAATACATTTATGTTGAACTTTAATTTTGTGTAATGCGTATGCACCGTGTATAGTAACTTCATAATAGTTCTCGGAAAAATGTTCCGGCAAGCATCACTGACTATATATAATAGCCCGGATTCCATTTAGGGATCAATGTATGTACATAAATATATGCGATGGTATATAAAGGGTATGTATATTGGCATGTCCATTTGAAGCACTATCGATTCGTGTTGGTGAGCCGGAGCGATGACCCGAACCTCCCGCCGCCTACCGTTTCGCTAATTTGTTAATTATTTAATATTTACTACCAGGATATGGTATTCGAATATTAAAAGCGTTTATCCTCGCTATTAATGAAGATAATTTAGCTCCGAGTCCGAAAGAAATTAAATTAATTTTGCGAAGTTAACATTCGCCATGTAACGGATGGTCAGTTCTTTCTTATTTCTAGCTATTTTTATATAGAATATGAGTGACAAACGAGCATATAGTCCACTAGATGCAATGCCTCGTTTCCATTAAAAAGGATCTCCGGTTCTCTACACTCACCACACGAAACACAGCAGTCTTAAACTGGTAGTTTACGCAGATATTCCGTGAGAGCTAGTTTCTTAATCTTACAATTAAATTATGTTAGATCTTTAGTATCTTGTTATGGTTATGTGGTAAAGTATTTCATCATCATCACCATCATTACAGCCCCTCACAAGTCCACTGCTGAACATAGGCCTCTCCCAAGGTACGCCACTAAACACGGTCCTGAGCCACCTGCATCCATCGTATGATATTTAGTAAACAATTCCTATAATTTCTTTGTTGCAGGATACATTGACATCGGAGCCGGGGGATATGAACGATGATGATAATTTTTCTGGTGAGTGTTTTCTTGTTATAATATATCATATAAAATATCGCATGTGTCAGTACTTGCATCAAATCAATTTGGTATTTTATGTTTTAAAATTTCAATTACTGTTTCAAAATTACTTTTACATAAAATACCGTCAACTGATCGGCTCCGAGCATGATTTTGAAATCTTTTTTCCGAATTCCAAATTTAAAAATTGATTGGCAAATATGATCTGGTGCAGGTCAGGCCTTCGCGAAAGATGCTGAGAAGTTGAAAATGATGTTGCTGGCATGGAATTACCACAGCCAGAGTCAAGGTAAAACTATTTGTATGATACATTTCATGTGTTCTTTATCGGATCTTTTAATACTGTTTGTTATTATAAATACTTGAATACTGTAAAAATAAAAAAAGATTTTGAAACATTAAAAGAATCCAAAGCGTTGTCAATATTTACGTAAATGTAATTTGAGTGACAAAAATACTTTGCTATACAAAAAACTAACTACACGAGCGGCTTTGCAATTTTCTTGCCGAACAAACAGTTTGTTAAGCAGCGAACTTGCATAATTTCCACGGCAAAATTGCTAGCCGGGCTATTTTTACTACTTTAGCGAAGCCATATCGAGAGAGCGGGCGTACCAGGGGCGCAGGCGTTGCGATGCAAGCACCTCAAATTATTTATAGGCGAGGGGCTTGTTTCGGTTGACATTTAGAAGCAGATGCACCGGTCCCCTGCGAATGCCTACTGCACACCCTCATTAATTTCTGCCGCCTTGCTAACTGACTATGAATACTAAATATTTTAAAGACGAAAATTATGGATTGTCTTGCGGTTCCGCAGAAAATACAGTAGCTGTTGGTTGGCAAGAAACCAGTTTGCTGTAACGGTTTCGTTTTCATTTATTTCTCTTTATAAATTTATCCTAGGCATAGGGCTGCCGACTAAGTTGCGTACGTATTATCTATTATTTATTCTGTGGTTGCGTCGGATAAAACGCAATATTTTAAGAAAAACGCGTATTAAAAGAAATTGTCAGTGTAAAAAACAACGTATGTTAGTATATATGTATTATACTATGTAATGTTTCCTAGAAAACTATTGAAAAATTCATACAAAGTTTCATTTTGATATCAAATAGCACTTTAAGTGTTGTCAAAAAAAAAAAATAGAATAATGACCTCATAGTTTTAAAAGGAAATAAATTCCTTTATATATTTTTGACATGAAAACGAAAACCTGACAAGTTTGAAACACTACTAATCGTATCAAATTGTAATTATATGGTGTTGTTATTTATTAATTATGATGTCAATTATCCACTTTTTTGTATTTATTTGACTAGATCAATGTACATTGTACATTTTAATGTATATTTACCTTAAAACTCTTGGGTTTTTGTTCTTCCCAAGTAAGAGATAGGTAAACCAGTGGTAAATATTTTCAAGGAGTATTAATTTAATATCAATGAAATAATCTAGATTATATTATAGCACAATCAACAACCCTTGTTGTTCCATTACTTCAATTATAAAATAAATGAATTAGTCTTTTATTTTTTACTTGGGATCTCTAGTTTAATTAACATTTGTTACAAATTATTATTTTCAATGTCATTTTAATATAATAAACGCCGACCCGCGGTAGCGTTACGTGTGGTCCACATATTAATGTTTCAAGATACAAAATATAATTTTTAATCATAATATATACAAATCACAAATCAAATACAGATATTCTAAAGGGCGTGGCGAGACTTAGAAACTATAAATACAGCACGTAAGTTTTTTAAACATGGTAGACAGTCAATATTTTTACCAGTTATCTGTATTACGATAAGAAACTATCAAAGATTGACGGATGCATTATTATTTTGAGAGTTAGATAAGAATAACTCTTCAGCATATTCAAAGCGGCAAGGCGTCGCAAGAATTACAGTGGAGCATCTGAACGCGGGTGGAGCTCCGATACGTAAAGTCCTTCAAAACCTATAATTAATTCTGTCGTTCAAAGGTGTCACTACGCCGGAGTCGTGGAACCGAAATGAGCTGGTCTTGTTATTCAAGAAAGGTGACGCCTTGTTAAAAAACTATGGCTGTTTGCGGTTTTTAAAAGTAATTTTAAAACATATCGCATGGAAAACTGGACGATAATAACATACCGAAAAGGCTCTCCTACATTTGCTCTGATCGTGTACGTACTATTGGATACATTAGCCAGAAGTCCGAAGAGTACAATCTGCCGTTTTGTAATTGTGTATGTGTACTATAAAAAACAACCTTTGATAAATTTATGCCATTGCTACAGTCTCTTCGGCGGTGTCAGATTGACCACATAGAAATCTTAAAGTGCACATTGCTTGTCCTTTATTCCTTCTTCCCCATCGCCACTTCAGATTGCCGTTGGTCTATGTCGGTTACTCTAGTTCTACCACGGATGCCTTCATTACGAAGTCTGTCATGCAGAAACTCCAAATGGAGTATCCATTCCATAGTTCGCTGCGCCGACGCGACATTGAGCGTCCTCATGTGGCAACCGGTAAAGGTCCTCCACGTCTCAGATCTTAATGTTATTACTGGCAACATGCAGTGCACGCACTTATACAATCAATCTTTCAAGTTTTGAGGTATATGTGAATGAATTCCATCGTTTCTCAGTCTCTGACAAATTTTTGTGAATGCAAATTATAGGAGTGGTGGCTTAGAGCCGTGGCATAAACCAGAATAAGCATTATGATGCCTAACACTGAAACCGTTAATTGCAAATTAAGTTCTGATTTATGTTGAGCTCGATAATGTAGAATTTCGAGTATAATATTGACGACTAGAAGGAAGTCAACCAACCTGATTGGCGTGTGGCGAACCAACTCTATTGGAGCAAGCAAGTCTTGAGACTTTTATTGGGTTTACTTTATGGTTTTAGCACGCATGGCTCGGCTCGACCGGGATAGGACCACACTTTCACAGAATACCAGCGTAACATAACAGCTCGTTGCTGCTGTGTTTCGTATGGTGAGTGTAGAGAACCGGAGACTCTTTTTACTGGATAGAAGGCTTTTCATCTTAGTCCTCAGCGGTGACAACTCATCGGCATTTGGATTCTTAATCGAGAATAGATAAAGATGTCTGTGGGCCACAGTATCCATTTACCATCAAGTAGACCTTATGCTCGCATGTCACCCTTATACTATAAAAAATATTCACCGCGTTTCTTTTTGTATTTTAACCTAAATTTGTTTTAATTCGTTTATATTCCATGCCGGCAACATATTCAAAACGATACTTTAATTTTTAAACACAAAGCAACTGTTTTAACCTACTGTAGGTACAATAATCTTCTTATAAATTTTAACACGCTCTTGGTTAACTTTTAATAATAATAATAATAATAATAATATTTTATTTGGTATTTATTATTAGCTTGACATGTATCATGCATGAATAAAATTTTATAATTCAATTTTCACTAATTTCTGAACGATTGAATAATTTAAAAATTTTTAGGCATAATATAAAGAACAAATGTTAATACCTACAATGTTTACCGTTTAATCTAACTGCAAAATTGATAATGTCAAATGGCTTAGCAAGATCCTTCGTTATGCCGAAAATATTGCAGCATTAATTTTGAAATAAATGTATGGTAAAGTTGAGGATTAATGTTAATGATTATGTTAGACGAAAACACGATTTCGTAAAATTTTCTCGATAGAAAAAAAATCCAAAGTTACCTCCAAAATAAACAATAAACCGCTGTTATTCATAAAATACTTTAAATAAGATCATGAAACTTTGCATACTAACTGAACTAACTATAAAGCAGTGCTTATGTTATTTACTTTTTTTTAAAATACCATTATTTTCACTGTAAAAAGAAATTACCTAAACTATCGGCGTCTTGAGCTTGATTCCTGTCGCCCGTTAGTATCGCTTAGGCTTTTGAAGGGAGAAGTTGTGTCGCTTACGATCAGAATATACATTACGCAACAGTACGACGTAAAATTAAAATGGGAAATAACCGTGATAAAAATAAGAAGCGGCTGGCTTGGCGTTAAGAAACAGGCATAAATATGATAAACCTAATGAAATAAGTGTCTAACGACCTTTCTACTTACAGTATTAGTGATTACAAACATATCGGTACATAGCATACGACGCGCGGGGAAGTGGGGGCGAAATTAGAATTTGAGCTGACTTACTCTATCCTCTTAAACGGTAAACATTGTATCAACATTATCATAACATAGTGTAAGAATATCCATATATATATATATATATATATGAGTCGTAAGCTGAAGGAGCGAAACTGTATTGGGACATGGGCAGCAGCACCTTCCTGATACCAACTTAAGGCGCATGTTTGAGCAAAATGTCGTTTAGTCTAGTCGTTTATTGTAAGGTTTTTAACAGCTACTTGATATTAAGGAGATATATCAACTAATAAGAAATATATTAAATTTCTACATAATCTGGATTTCATAATAGCCAATTCCATTTTTTTTAAAAAGTGTAAATATTTGATTGACCTCTTACAACGAAACCACAGAAATGTGAAATAATTGTTGATAACATGCGTCTCCTCGTAATGTAAGCATTATTTTATTTTGCGATTAATAAAAAAAAACTGCAGTTGGCATTCCGTTTGGGGGATACCCCTGGGAGACAGTCTATATTAAAGGTCTATGTTCAACAGTGAGCTTTTATAGGCTGTAAAGAATGGTGCAAATGCTTTCATGTCTATGACCTATTGTTACGACTAGGATCACCATATTTGGTCAGAATATTTTTTTATAGGATTTGATGACAAACGTAAGTGGTTGCTGTGGCCCATAACATCTAGATCTATCCTCGATTACGAATCAAAATGCAGATACGTTGTAACCCTTGAGGACTAAGATGGAATGCCTCGATACGAGTAAAACGGGTCTCCGGTTCTCTACACTCACTATACGAAACACAGCAGCATTAAGTTGCTATTTTACGCTGGTATTCTGTGAGAGCGTCGTCCTTACCCAGTCAACCCGACCCATTTGTGCTACAACCATAATAACTGCAGCTTGGCTCTACCACGTATAGATTAACATTACATATCTTACGACAATTACGATATTCTTATACGGTCAATGTTATTGTATCACCCTTTTTACTAAGGCTGTGTAAAAGATGAAAGCATGTCGTGTAAAGCAAAGGCCTCGTCTCGTATCTGTGAGAGTCTCCATCCTAAAAACCTTCATCAAAAAAACCTGCATCAGTGTTGGTGAACTTCGCATGTCTTCTAAATATGTTTAATTTCTATGATATATCTTGCGATGTTTTCCTTAGTCGTTGTATATGTTTTAAAATTGGTACCTAAAATAATTTTAGTGGTCTCGACGTTGATCGAACATGGCTTGTTGAAATTGAAATTTATTCCAAACGCTCACCTTCTAAGACTGTTGTTTTAAGTTGCTGTGGGTATAACGATTTTTTTGAAATTTATTTAAACATCTTGAAGCTCGCGTTTGTTCTAAGTCTTTGTTGTAAGTCAAATTTAAAACAAGCATGATAACATGATTCAATAATAACTATTAGGAGTCCATAAATATTTTAAAAATACACCTTTGTGATTACTTTTTATATATTTTTGAAAGAAGTAACGGTGACAAACAAGCATTCAATTACTGGTGGCTAGTGGACGCTGTGGCTGGTATTCGTATAGGTGGGAAAGTCTCTCTACCGCTAAAAAGGGCAGAGAGACTTTCCGTTCTTGTCAATCACCATACAGAACACAGCAGCATAATGTTCTGCCATTGCACACTGGTATTCCGTACGTGCGTGATCCTTCCATCGCTCGAGCCGATCCATTCGTACTACCACAATCAATACTAAACCTATAGTAATACTTTGTAAAGGTATTAATTTTAAAGTGATTGTTTATGTGTCTGCTGAAACTAACTTTAAGCACACCTTTAGATCTTATCTTCTTCTATCAGTCAGGTTTTACTGCTAGCCAGGAGGCTGTTATAACTTCATAGAGCGAGTTATGTAGAGAGACGTTAATTTATGATTACGGTGATGTCTGTACTGCCCTTAACTTTGGCGATTTGATTTAGCATTCTAGAGTCAGAATTATGAATTACAACGTCATCATAAAAAATAAGACATGTATTATGTACACCTCAGCTTTTACTGCTAGTCAGGAGGCTGTTACAACTTCATAGAGCGAGTTATGTAGAGAGACGTTAATTTATGATTACGGTGATGTCTGTACTGCCCTTAACTTTGGCGATTTGATTTAGCATTCTAGAGTCAGAATTATGATTACAACGTCATCATAAAAAATAAGACATGTATTATGTACACCTCAGCTTTTACTGCTAGTCAGGAGGCTGTTACAACTTCATAGAGCGAGTTATGTAGAGAGACGTTAATTTATGATTACGGTGATGTCTGTACTGCCCTTAACTTTGGCGATTTGGTTTAGCATTCTAGAGTCAGTATTATGATTAAAATGTCATCATAAAAAATAAGACATGTATTATGTACAACTGTTATGTTCTCCTGGTAGCCCAACCATGTTTTATCAAGAAAAACACTCAGAAACCCCATAACATAACCGCTGAAGGATTTAGATGCCTAAGATTTACACGAACATATTTATTATACCTTTGCCACGACTTAAAACCGAGCTCGTAAGAGTAGTTTATAGTACCATTATATTTTATAGCAAATATCTACATTGGATTCACGTCTGTTCAGGGTCCACAATGATCTAAGTAACTCTCTTCTGATTATGAAACTAATATGATTAGTTAACTAATCTACTTTCTCTTGCAATTGCAGGTCGTAATGGTGACATTACAGAAAGCGGAGCGGATAGCATGGCGGACCTCTGGGCCTCCTACCACAGTGCTCTTGGACTTGGCAGCAAACCTCCTAAGCCGCCAACACCCTTGGCTACTGGCCATTCGGTGAGTTTTAAGGTTGAGAGCGTTTCAAATATATTTGGTTTTAACGTTATTTTTGTATGATCCAAGGATTGGTTTTCATTTTAAGTAAAGACACACGTCGCGTGGTGTTGTCGTGAGTGTTGAGGCCCAAAAAAGATCTTTTGGATTCCGATAGATGGTGGTCAATCTCAAGATTTTTATTATCTTCCCATAAATACCGGTGGTATCCGTAGTTTATGGAAAGAATAACAAAAAACTGTCAGGTACAGCTATCGCCAAACCACCTGACAAGCATAGCTGATATGGTTATCCTCGCAATTCTGTTAGACATTAATTCCCAACAGTGAATTCTTTATGGAATGATGAAGAAATATTATGTTGCAGCAGCTTAAACGGTAGGCGTAAGAGATGATAGGAACCCTTTTTGTCTTAGTGTCGGTCGGGGTTGGTGGAAGAAGAAAGAAGAAATAACTGTGACAAACGAGCACACCTAATGGAATAGGCATGCTGCTCATAAACACGTGTACATATACCATCGATTAATAATCGAGTTGTTGTCACCCGTGAGAATTAAGATTGAATGTCTCAATATTGGTAAAAAGGCTATGCGGTTCTCACCATACAATATACAGTAGCATTATGCTGCTATTTTACACAGGTATTATGTGAGAGCGCGGTCGGTCCCGGACATAGTGATGAAGCCATAATATAGTTGTATCGTGGCTCTACCATGTATCAAATGTTTTATATATTTCTATCGCGAAACAGCTTGTTGTTCCGTTTTGAAGCATTTGAGGCAATCCATGTTAGTCATCAGGGGAGACCACGTATTGTGGTCTCCTCGTTGCTTGCAGTTGCCCGAAGGCTGCGATAGCCATTTACCCCCAGATGGAGTGTGCGCTTGTTTCGGTAAGACTATCGCTTAACGTTCAAAAAAAATCAAGCTTTATTAAACATTTTAAGACAGTGCTGGACACCTGATTGTAAATGGCGATGTAGCCGACTATGGTATTACGTCGTTATCATAAAAAAGTCTTCATTCTTGCCTTGAACATTATCACATTGTAATCGGATGGAAAGACAGTATTTATATTGATAACTGTAACTCATACATTATTAAGGCTGGAAGGAGAAATAAAATTTATTTTACCAACTCATCAAGGACCACAGCATCTGGTCATAAATTAAACAGATCCTGTTATGAAGATGAGGAATATATTAGTGTTGTAATTGCGACCATTCGAGTGCGATGCGTTTTTGCTTTCGAATAAATACATATGTATGAGTGAAATATCATATCTTACCCGTATAATACGAATTACGAAAAGTACTTCTACTGCTTCTACATTGTATAAAATGGGAATATCTATTCTAAGTGTTCGAAAAAGTGTACACCGTGGTTAAATTTCTAAAATTATGTTTTCTTAAATAGAAATCCGGGATCGCAATAAATGTATATCATTGTTATTTTTTAAATGTTTTGACTTGTGATAAAGAATGTGCTGCTGGCCATCACCTGTTTCTACATCCCTCTGCCCCCTCTCACGACACCCACGGGACGATATAGGGTAGGTGGTTATAGGTAGGTGGATATAGGGTAGGTGGTTATACTGCCACACTGCCACTACACGGTTGGCAACCCGCTCGCCTAGTGTGACATCTATAGCAAAATCCTATGAGGCAAACTATGGGGGAGGCCTATATCCACCAGTGGCCTTTTATAGGCTGTGATCGATGGATGGATGGAAATAGAAATCCATATTTTTTATAACAAAAAGACTCAAACTTCAAAAATACAAGCTGTGGACAGACTGAATTAAAACCACACCATTTTTTTATAAACTGTACCTCAACGGTTTTACAAATAAAATGCTATTTCGTAGTTAGTATTAACGACTAGTATATAACACACTTATGGAACCACGTTTGTATAAAAATTACTTAAAATTATTTATAAATACCACAGAATATATAACATTACAAATAGAAATACATTAATTCGTGACAAGCAAGTCAATTCTTTTACGAAAAACGCTTTTTAAATCAGAGTGGCAAACGAGCACACAGTCCACATGATGGTTGGTGGATGCTGTGGCCCATAGACACTTACATCTATTCTGGAGAATCTAAATGCTGATGCGTTGTTTACACTGATATTCTGTGAGAGCGTGGTCCTTCCCCGATCGCGCCGACCCATTCGTGCTACAACCGTAATATACCTGCAGCATGGCTCTACCACGTAATCGAAAATAACTATTGGACAAAAACACTAACTAGTGGTTTGGATATCATAGAGTCCAATTCACGTGGGCTCTGCGACTCCTGGGCTCGAGCCAGCGTCGACCCACGACGAGACCTCGTCGTCGGACCGCACTAAAGACGACGACGACGCCGGCGCATCCGATGACGACAGCGACGACCGAGTCGATCCACAGCACCATGATCCGGAACGACTGAAGGCTTTCAACGTAATTATACATCAATTTATTATTTGTAAACTTTGATCTTTGAACTGCGTAACGAAGACGAAAACATTGACGCACGAGTTAACTCGGAACGACTAAAGCCTTATTTTATATGTAATTTTATCATCGTAGAACAAAAACGACGACAGACTATGGATCGTAGCATCATTGCAGCTCCGAGGCGAGTCTAAGATAAAACACTTAAACAGGAAGATCTAGCAAACATTTTATTATTTGTTTAATTTAATTCAGTCCATCTTGATGTATAGTATAGTAACATATCTAGTACGTGGGTAGTGGTCTCAATTTTCGAGCGAAAAACAACATAAGTCCAATACCGAAGATGATGTCTTGGCAGGCTCTGATCGGAGCTTGTACGGCCGCGATCTCTTGAACCTTTCGATTTAGTAATATTATATAAAAGATAAAAAACTAAGATTTAAAATGTTTTCTCAGCATAACTTAAAAAATAATTATTGCTTTCATTCTTTTAAACTTCTTGCAGTTTTATAATGGAATCTGCCAGGTGCATACACGCATGATAAGCGATTTAGTAACATTTTTATGTTTTTTTTTTAATTTTAATAATTTTACGTACCTAATTTCGGATGATTTCATCACAGCCATTTTCGTTAGATATTTTGTTTTAAAAATATTACATTCGAAATCTAAAATTGAATCGTGGATTTTTTAATGAAAAAAATTGTAATGCAGTTCAGGCGTTATTTTAATAATGGCGTAGATTTTTTTTTAATTTAATTTATTGTCTGGACGACAAATTCTTCAGCCTGTGCACTCACTGTTGTGTCCCATTTAAAAGAGCAGTGTAAAGAAAAAGTGTAAGGCCATCTTATTCCTAAGAGGTTACAAGGTACAAGTCCAGTCTTTGTTTAAAGTTCGTTGCAGGTTCATGAGCTGAAGTAGCCTGTAGCTAGGTTGACTTTTTGCTAGTTTACCGCCCTCATAGTTAAAAAAAAAAACATTTTCATTGATACATTCCATGATATATTCCTCAATCATTTCATTCCCTTAAGACTTAAAAAAACGACGTCATAATCTTTAAGATGTTCAGAATAAAACCAAAAACCTCTATGTATCTTTGCAGATGTTCGTCCGATTATTTGTAGACGAGAACCTTGACAGGATAGTTCCTATATCGAAACAGCCGAAGGAGAAGATACAAGCGATCATAGACTCGTGCACGCGACAGTTCCCGGAGTTCGCCGAACGCGCCCGAAAGAGAATCAGAACGTACCTGAAGAGTTGCAGGAGAAATAAGAAAGTCCGTGGGGACGGGCCTACGAGTGGGAACGGAGGAAGTACGCCATCTAGTAGCGCGTGGGATACCGCGGTGAGGGTCCGAAAAATGACATTTATATTTTATATTTACCAATAATTTAAAAAAAAATCGTTACTATATTATTATATAATCGTGGTTTTTTTTTCTCAAGCTAATACTTTACGTGGTTTCAAAGTGTGTTATAGCTATAATTAAGTTTTCTGTGGTTAAAGTAGAATGGTGCATACATTTATTTGCTCACTTAATAATAGTATTTGATTAAAATATTTTACTAATGAATGTTTTTGTACAAGATGCACATCGGTTAAATTTAGAAGTCAGGATCGCTTTGAAGTCTTTGACCGTACAGAAGCAAATGCGATTACATTAAAGAAAATTCGTTCATACAACAGTATATCTGATACTGTTGTATGAACGTAATCGAATTTAACACTTAAGCCCATATATGAAAACAATGATATACATTTATTGCAGTTTTTGAAACTACGAGTAAATAAGGTTTTACTTTTATTTGAAATTATCCGAACTTCTCTGCCGACCGATCGACCCTTACGAATGTGTGCGTGCGCAATGAAATCAGTTAAAAATAATGCATTACCACGCATTTAAAAGATAAAAGGGACAGAATGTTTGAGATATTTCAAATTAATTTTTTTTCACCATTTGCCTATATTACTTCTGAACCTTCTGTGCAAATTTGGCCGTTTATTGCAAAATAACCCTGTATATCACCATAGTCAGTCTCTTATTGAAATTATAGTGGTTTGTTTCACTTACTATCTTTTTTAGTCGAATAGTAATTGGCCCTTAATATATAGTACGAGGATAACCACAAACGTTTATTTAACCTCACCTAAATTTTGCAACTGAATTTCAAATATGTTCCACATACTAATTGAGCTAAAATTTTGTATACACTAGTGCTAGTGCCGATACTATTTAAGGCGCTACTTCTAGCGAACGAACTAGAGCGTTCGGTCCCATACATTTCACGCGCTCTCGCGCAAAATTTAAAATATTTCCTTCATAAAATCGAATTTTAGTCTTTATCGTAGATGCATTGCTATTAGTGTCAATCGCAAAATAAAATAATGCTTACTTTATGAAGAGATTTTATACGTGGTAGAGCCTTGCTGAAATTATATTAGTAGTGTAGCTGTAGCACGAATGGGTCGGCTCTACCGGGGAAGGACCACGCTCTCACAGAATGCCAGCGTAAATAGTAGCAAATGCTGCTGTGTTTCGTATGGTGAGTATAGAGAACCGGAGACTCTTTTTAACTGGAAACGAGGCATTCTATCTTAGTCCTCACGGGTGACAATGCATCTGCATTTTGATTTGTAATCGAGTATAGGTGTATAACGATTGTGTGCTGTTAAGTTGTAGGAATATTCGTCAAGTATTTACTATTTAAAAAAATGGAATTGGCTATTATGGAATCAAGAATATGTAGAAATTTAATGATTTTTTATTAGTTGATATTGTTTTTAATAACAAGTAGAGAGCTCCTAAAAACCTTTACTCAACTTATAACGACTAGCGCGGCGTATTGCTCAAACACGCACCTTAATGTATGCAGCTATGTATTTTTTTTTGAAAATGTCTTACGGACGTAGGTGGAAGAAAAATTTTCTACTATTCTTTATGAATACGTAAGATAGCCAAGATCCGCCATCTTTCTGACGTCCTTGCCCGATAAGAATGATTTTTGCCATAGTCATCACGCTTGGCAGTTAACAGTTTTATCAGGAAGATGCTGATACTCCTGTTTTGTTTCCCTCTGTCGCTTCTCACGTCACCCACAGGATGACATCTGCTCGTGGATATTATTACGCCGCCATTTTGGAAAACAATCTTAGTAAATAGGCAAACAATCGAAGTATATATATCTATATAGCCGATGCTCCTCTATGACTGAAAACATGATAAATAATAATTTGTTTTTTGCAGGTGCGACCCACGCCAGCACACTTGACGTCGGTGCAGGCGGAGCATATTCTAGCGCAGGCGTGCGAGAACGAGAGCCTCAATGCCAAGCGCATGCGGCTCGGCCTTGATCCCGTCAGCCAGCCCATGCCCACGCTGCCAACACCCATGGTCAGTCGCCCAGTTAATTTCTCTGATGTTTAAATTAAACGTGTTTTTAGTAGTTGTCTGATATTCGTCATGATGTGCAGCAATACATTTTAAGACATCGATTTCTTTTAGCTCAAGTTTTTATCACTAATGTTTTCGTATCGTTATCGACTGAAGTTGTATGGAAATATGAATTGCACCACTAAAACGACTGCTCATTCTTACAAAACTTTACAGACGGATTGGTGAGCACAGCCCGACATCCTCACACTGTTGTCAGAAAACAACTTCTTTTTATAAGAAAACACACATAAACGGCGAACTGGCTAATAATGTTAATGGTTTACCTAAAGAAGTATTTTTGGTCCACATCTATTTTTAACAATTCATAAATGTCAAGCTACAAACGACTTGCATGTTGCGTTTATTGAAATTTTACTCAAATATTTGAACGATCTGATTAATCGTAGCCTATTTTTACTTTACTTATATTTTTATTAGCTGTAACCAAGACTACTTTTGCAATTATAATCAATTACATATTCTTTCTTTACCTATTCTTACATGGAACACTGCGCATAAATTAAATTTGCCAAACAGAAATTCTTTAAACACTAATTAAAAATAAACTAATAAGATATTTTTTTTTTTCAAAATCTTAACTGAAATATTGTTTCAGGCAATCGACACAACAGCAACTTCAGCGGTCGCCTCCTCATTTCTGAGTCTATACAGTGGCGCAATGAGCACGTCAACCACAGCGAGCACGGCTTCAGCGACATCCATGTCCAGCGCTGGGCACAGCAAAGTAGCAGCCGATACCACGCGGCCAACAACCAGCCCTTCTATAGAAAACGCTTTGCTTAACAACAACAGTTTGAAGATCGATAATGCTAATGGGAATACTGGGAGTAAGACTGCAAGGTTAGTAGAATTTGTTTACAAATTTAGGGCATTCGTATGAAAACGCAAAAAATCGTTTTCTATCCCTGGAGCGGCGACTTAAACGTGATCCTTCCTTTAAAACTAAATATTGTGAATTTATGAGAGAATATGAGCGTTTAGGTCATATGACTTTAGACTCTGACTATACTTCTACGTTTGACAACTCCGTGATCTCATATTTCATTCCACATCATGGAATTATACGTAGATCTAGTACCACTACTCAACTACGCGTAGTATTCGACGCATCAGCCACTGCCAGTTCGGGCGTGTCTCTTAATGACATTCAAATGGTCGGTCCCGTAGTGCAAGACGATCTATTTTCCATTTTAATACGTTTTCGTCAGCATAGGTACGTAGTTTCAGGTGATGTAGAGAAGATGTATAAAGCCATTGAGTTAAGTCCAATCCAACGCCTTCTACAAAAAATAATTTTTCGGTTTGATCCTTCAGAACCTCTTAGGATCTATACATTGAATACGGTCACTTATGGTACCGCTTCTGCTCCTTTTATTTATATATTAAGCCACAAAATGCCTGGTAAGTCTGGCTGATAACATTGAGAACAGCCAGGTCCAGCGGGCCATACGACGTGACTTCTACATTGATGACTATTTCACTGGAGGAAACACCATAGGAGAGACTGTAGCAATTGCAAAACGAGTACAATTGGTTCTATCTTCTGCTAAATTTAACCTACGAAAATGGCGATCAAATCATCCTCAAATTCTAAATCAAATTACAAACAGTATCGCTGTATCGACTCAGATAATCCGTTGCAATTTTCTGAGCAGGGTTTAAATTTCCTCTCAATCTAAAACTTTAGGTCTTAACTGGGTTTGTGATTCTGGTTCGCTTACTTATACTATTAATATAAAATCGACAACTAAAGTCACGAAACGTCACGTCCTTTCAGAGTTCAGTCAGATTTTTGACCCATTAGGCCTCGTAGGTCCGTGCGTTGTCGAAGCGAAAATATTCGTGCAGCGTTTATAGCTACACAACTATGAGTGGGACGACGAAGTATCGCTCGAAATAAGAAAGCTTTGGAAAATACAATAACATCTTTAAATAATTTAAAAATTCCTCGTTGGGTTTTGCGTGAAGACTCTATTACACATCAATATCATCAATACCAAGGCTTGAACTTTGCGGTGCTTTGTTAGGTGCCAGGCTGTGTACTAAGGTTCAGGAAGGGCTAACTTTACCCATTCACCGATATAAATTGTGGTGCGACTCATCCATAGTCTTGGGTTAACAAATTAGCTAACCAACTGAAACCCTTTTGTTAACAATACGTGTCACGTTTTTAATATGTGAAGATTATAGATATATAGATATAGATAGATAGATATTATATATATATACATATATATATATATATATATATATATATATATATATATATTATATATATATATATACGTTTGCATAGCAAGACGGATTTGCCATAGCCCGCCCCCCCGTTATAGGGTTGCGGTACCAAAGTCACGTACTTTTGACAATATTCTCCATCACCGATTTGGTTATTTTAAAGCTAAGAACCATTTAAGGAAGCGAGGGAAACTTTGTCTTGTGCCGGAAATTCTGCTGTTACATCACTTAAAATATTTCTTTTGACAGCCCTGCGTCATCGCCTGCGCCACTGTTCAGACCCTCATTTCCGAGCACCTTTGGTACTCCACAGACATTTGGAAGGCAAAAGTAAGTTTTTATAGCAACTTTTTCCTCTATCAATTCTTTTTCATCCACTGTCAGATGTATACAAAAATTTTATGCGCTAATTGTCTTTCAACCAAAAACTCTTTGTTGATTCTAATCGCGCTTTACACAAGTGGATCCAGATGAGATAGTAGACAAAACTGTTTGTGTAATACTTTTAGAGGTTTTTATCTAATGCCCGATCCCAGTATTCAAGAAATAACTTATGTAATAAATAATAATATGTCAGATATAAAATTACCCAGACCGGCTACACTATAGGAAGCAATGACTAGATACGAAACGCCTAGTACATAATAGTGTTATTGTTTGAATGTCTCTTTGGTCCCAGGTCAAATATAAACCAGACCAATATCCAGGCCCATAAACCGGAACCAAACAAAAAAAGCAAGAGATGCGTTGTCTCTCTTGACAACAATAGCGGGTGCATTGCTGGCTGCTTTGCGACAGAAATAATTCACTAGTTCCAAGCTACACAGATTTTTAGGCAAAAAAGAAGACCATACCACCTTGTTATACATAGTACATTTTTATGAACTCATTAACAAGAAATCAAAACCAAACGGCAGTTTTAAAAATACTTTTTATTTTTTTTAGCTCAAATACGAACTCTGCTTCAGCGCTTTCAAGCAGCGCTCTGCTTTCAACCTTATCTTCGCTTCCCCCTACAGGTAGTATATTTGTGATAAAATAATGTGGGTGCGTGTGTGTGAGTGAGTGAGTGAGTACTTTAGTAATTTTATTAATTATCTTTTGAATTTGATTTTCCGTTTAAAATAAATTTGCTTTTATTCAATTTTGCACTTTATTTCCAGGTGTGGGTATGAACGCAGCAATGGCGGCCTACCAAAGTGCTCTGCTCTCAGCAATGGCGGCTCACACGCACACATTCCCCAGCATCTCCGGTGAGTGGTTAGGTTGGCTCAACTTCTTTACTTTATATCTCATAATGGATTGAACGTATGGCATTATTAATATTATGTAAAGTGGACATTTCCGTAAAGCCGTGCTGCAGCTTAAATATTATGGTTGTAGCATGAATGGTTGACTCGACCAGGTTTGGACTAAACTCTCACTGAGCACTTAATGCTGCTGTGTTTCGTATGATAACTGTAGAGAACAGGAGAACTTTTTTACTGGAAATGAGACATTTTATCTTAATCCTTAGTGGTGACAACACATCTGCATTTTGATTCTTCGTCTAGGATAAATGTAGATGTCCATGGTTTTCAGCATTTACGTACCATTAGGTGGACTTGTTACTTTGTTACCCTTATTCTATAAGAAAGAATAATTTAACAACTGATTCATAAAATTCTTATAAATAGATTTGTCACACTCATTACCTGTAAGAGTGTGACACATTTTAAGACGACAAACATAGTAAAATTTCACGTGAATGGCAACTTAAGTTACCGATTGTCAATATGATGATAATGATGTCAAGTGATGTATAGTGCAAGATTTAGCAAGGAATGCGGAATATTGCTGACTCATTATATTGTTGTGGAAATATTTTATTAATTATTGTTACAATGGACGATTATTATTGTTATTGTGGTATTGTTAAATACAGGTAAGCTACGTTTTGTAAAAAAAATTATGTTACGGCTATTAGAGTTCACTGCTGAACAATTGCCATAGTTGCCACGGTTGCAAGCTGGTTGGTAACTGCAGTTTTTATTTTGAGTCGTTTTGAGGAAGACACTGCTGCATATACCCTGATTTGTTTCTCTCTGTCGCATTTTACGACACCCACGAGATGATATGAGGTAGTAGATATTCTTACACCGCTGTAAAATTTATATAAAGAAACACTTTTGTGGAGAAAAGTGTTCCATAAGTAAGATATTTGAATCTGCCAGCCCCAACGGACCTGTCAGTAAAGAACACCCCGTCGTCGACGTCGCTGCACGCGACATCGACGGCCAGCAGCCTGGCGGGCTCCGGGGGCTCGGCGAGCAAGGCGCCGCTGCTGGCGCACAAGCTGTCGGGCGCGGAGGTGGGCGCGGTGCGCCAGCTCATCACCGGCTACCGCGAGTCCGCCGCCTTTCTCCTGCGTTCAGCCGATGAGCTGGAGGCGCTCTTGCTAAACCAACCCTAGGATACGCCCAAATCCCTGACGGATATATTCGGATTTAAGTTCGGATATTTTTAATTCGGCTGCGAAAACACTAGCGGAATGTCGAAAAATTTACTGTCAGATGTTGAAGTAACCAATCTAAAATTCTTAGTACAAATGTCGTGGACTTTCAATGTTGTTTGTGACAGTATTTAAAAATCGTAGAATACAACTATCTTTCATATTTCTCTTTCGAGTTAAATAACATTATATAATTCGAAAGGCGTATTCAATTTTATATTTATTTTGGATTAGTAAAATTAGTTACAAAAATAAGGGACGCTATTGATTATGCGTCTGAATGCATTTTATATACCTTTATTCATCTGTTTGTCATGGCGATCACTTCCTTTTCTGCAATGATGCAATATTTTGGAGAACTTTAGTTTTGTAGATTCTTTTATATTCGATGTTTTAAAATTAATAGATTTGTAAAAAGCAGAAAATATATTAAATTTTAATTTAAACCGTAAAATTTGATTATTTAAATATCAATAGTAATCTAATCATCAATTTTAAATACATAAGATTAGTTCGTGACCTGATACAGGTCCGCAAATATATATAGACATTAGAAAAAATAAACGTAATGTTGATTTCATTGTAAACATGTTTATAATGATAACACTGCTTGTTAGCTATGAATCCGTGCTACAATATTTAATATAATGTACCTATTTATGAATGTTTTGTTCTTTCGCTACTTTTTAAATAATTAAAACATATAATTACGAGTTTAAAAAAATAATTGGCGATCGTGCAAAGCTGCCATATTGTTGTAAAGAAAAACTACACACGTTGCCATTGAAACTCGTTGGAAGAGTACAAAATTATTTTTGTGTATATTTAGATGTAAGAAAAAATCAGGGAGATTTTAGTGTTAGGAATAAAAATATTGAGTTCTTGCCTGGTGCGATAGTTTAGCGGCTATTATTAAATCATTCGAGGGGCGACCGAATGTAAATGTCTATCTTGTCATTTTTAAATTCTGATCTATGGCGGTTTATGGTGATTGTAGCGTAAGAGAGTTTTACATTAGTGGCATTGTAGATGTAAGGAGCACGAATTTATTTGTTGATTTGTATATTATAGCGCTACAGTTGTTTCTCATGTGCGTGTATTATATTTTTTATCTTTATATTTCTTTTTCTTTCATTTCTCTTTTTATGGTACCAGATACCGTGTCGTGATTGGATACAATATATATCCAAAATAATTTTATTTTAAGCAATTTCAATCTGTGGCAACACTCATTTTTATATATTTTCTGTTGTAGCAAATTTAAATTTCAAAGAGTATTGCCACCATTTTAAAGTAATTTTTGTTTTGCTCAGTACAGTACTATTTTAATATTTGTTACCATAGACTTTATGGCGAAGTACTTTAGGTAGATCATAGCATTATTATCTAGTGCTTACGATGTACAAAAAGGTTAAGGTTCTATTTGTTATGAAAATTGAACCATTTGATCTATGGAAAGTTTCTATTTCTGGCCTAATTTTTTGTTGACATAAAACAATACCTCTTATTATTAAATCTTCTGTTGTTAAATACTTAAATAATTTCATACAGTTATCTTAGTTCATGTAAAAATTTTGGCCAGTTTTTATCCAATTTTATTAGAATAATAGGATGTCTTTTTGTTAGTAAGTTTCTAAATAATAATATTAATAATATTTCAGATTTAATAAAAGCTTATTATGTTGCTTCCGGTTTTATTTCTCCAATTTTTTGACTGGTGGTAAATAATTATGTGCTGACAATACTGTAAAATATCAAAATTTGATGAATTTGATTTTGACGATGCCGCATTGGAGTGATCAAGTCAACTGTCAATATAAAATCTGTCATATAATTTTTCATACGAGTCAAAAAATTGAGAGACCGCAAATAAAATATAACATAAATAGTTCATAAATATTGCCAGTTTTTTCTCAATAGTGTAAACACTTTTAAGCCAGTTTAAAACTAAAAATTGTAAATTCACTTTTGAATACGAAAATTGCCAAAGAATCGAATTGATTATTATAATTGAATTAGAAGTTAGATGTGAAATTGCTGATACATAAGTATTTGTACAATTTTGTTTTAAGTATAATAAGTTTTAAGAGTTAATTATTTTAGTTTTTTTTTAAATCCATTCCAATATTTGCTAAATTTAAACGTCATTCGGTGCGATAGAAGATCAGTTGTAGTCATTGTAAATGGATGAATTTGTAAAAAGTATGTTTAGAGTATTATAAAAAAAGTTAATTAGAGATATGTGAAAGTTGATGTTGGAATAACGAAAAAAAACCTAATAATAACGATGGTAAACGTTGAGAAAATGAATTTGTTAGACATTAAAATATATTATTATTAGAGATGTATAAATGGTTTACGATTATTATTATTATTAGTTCGAGAGAAATACAAAAATGGAGATAAATTACATAATGGCGATTGTTACTATTAACGATATGAGAATTTAGTTATAATTTTGCAATTTCAAAATGTGAGTTTTACAATTTTGAAAAAGAAAATATTAAATATGCTCATATACAGAAGTATTCGTTTCATTGACGACATCCGACACACTGTACTACTCCAGCGGTCTGTTGCTTGGCGAATTTTAGAGGCTTTTGCTATATTACAAAAACTTTGCAGCAATGTACTTGTTATTTGTTGCATTTATAACTTTTAGGATTCCGTACACAACGATTATAACGAAACCCTATTAATGCCACTCTGCTGTCTGTGTGTCTCTTGTCTGTCCATCTGTCAGTCTGTCCGTCCGTGTGTCACAGATCTCTAGCTCGTAGATGAAATTAGTAAGAAGACCTGAATGTATATTTGGTGTAGAATGTTAATCCAAGAGTTAATATTTAGTAAAAAATTCAATTTAATTATTTTTCAGGGTGCTCTTCTATCTATGAAAAAAGGAGCGCATCTGTGACGTTTAGAGCAAATGAGCTAACAGCCTTATTGAAGGTTCTGTTGTAACTTTTATAATTATTGTTTATGGTATTTTAAAATAAACGGGATGGTTATAGGCCTACTACCTTTAGCCTACCGACCACCTTTAGCCTCGAGATCGTTCTGGCGTTTCGCACCGTCGCATTTTACGACACGAAGGCGAATTGGTATGATAGATTAATACACAACGCTGAAGTTCAAGGATTCTATATAAAGAAATCACCAGCAAAAATGAAAAAAAAAGTTGATAACTGTGGAGTTTCTTTCCTCATTTCTTCTCCAGTCAGAGGAACTCTCGAAATGGTAGTAGAATAAGCAAGTTTAAAAATGACATAAATTTGATAAATGAGAGAATGATGTAGTCTGATGGTTAATTAAAGCAAAACAAATTTAGTTTTATTGAAATTCATTAAAACTTAAACGAGTTTAATCTTCAAAATAAAATTAGTTCGTTTTACGAGCCTTATGTTACCATTTTTGTACTTGCAATCATTGCTTTGAATCTGGAGTCGCGGAATCGATCCGGGAACGGATAGAACCTTTCGTCCGCCATGAGCAGGTGAGTTGCGTTTATTATGAAGTTCATGTTTGAATTTGAAGCTAGGTATGAGAACATGGCGGGAATGCGTTCCGTTCCGCATCTGAAAATAATAATGTCTTACAATGATGATGGCAAAATGATAACTATTATATTATTATTATATATATAATACTGGGGTAGATCAATCCATCCATTACTGCTGGAAAAATCCACTGAATCTCATACGTTGCCTTATACAAGGCATTTTGGCACATTTGTTACGCTTGGCAAGCGGGTTGGCAAACGCAGTTCTTTATAATTTTGGAGTGGGATAGTGCCAACTTGCTACTTAACTAACTAACTGATTTTTTTTACCGGAACCGCATTATTAGCAGCCGCGTTTCTTTTTTTTTACCACGGAAATCGTTTGATAAGTATATCCAATATACTTACAATTTGCGTATACCCCATGATGCTAATCCCCATACCACGCCATCGCTTACTGCCGGAGCACCCGTGTCCCGCTGCAAGAGTATAACACGGTGAATTAGTGAGATTTTATATATTTTTAAAATAATTGCCGTGGTAGCTCCGATTGCTAGTGCTCGCTGTAAATTTCACAGCACGCGAGCAACCTAGGTTCGATCCCCGCCGGAACCAACGAAATTGTTTATTGCAATTTTAAGTGCTGAATTGCCGATCAAAACATCGTGAAGAAACCTGCACGTATGAGAAAAAAATAAATAAAATTCAAAGAACATGTCTTTGAAGTTTCCAAACACGCATAGGAACACACGGAGAGTGCGGCAGATATTTCCTTGCCTTAACACCCTCTCAGAAATGAGAGGAGGCCCGTGCCCAGCAGTGGGACGTATATATGTACTGTAACCTTAACTTTTTAAACTTTAATTACATTTAACAAAGTTTCTTGTGCTTGTATCTCCAAAAATGAAGTAAATTAGAGAAAGAAATTTCGTATGTTCGATTTCGTTCCATAAGGAAAATTTCATTCAAAATTTTCAAACTATAAAGTTTGAAAATTTTGAATGAAAAGGTATGTGTTAATGTTTCGTTGAAAAGCAATAAAAAAATTTGTCGAAAAAGGGTTACGAGTTCGATCTATGGGGTTTGTTAGGCCAACTATGTAATAAAACAATTTAAAAAAATATGATAGCAAAACATTGAACAGTATTTTAAGCCAAAATCGTAAGATAACTTTCGCTTAATTGTTCTCTGCCAACGTCTTGGATTAATTTCGGGGCAAATATGTGTCACGTTCGCCATTTTGTTTTGGTTCCTTTCGAACCGCGCTAATGCAGTCCGCTTGGTCGTTCGTCCCGCCATACCTTTTTCACTTTACGCGCACTCACAGATAATAAATAATTAGGGCCGATGCAGATGCAAAGGTAAAACCTTTTGCTAGCATCATAAACGGAGCGAAGTAAAAGTCTAAATTTTACCCCAGGAGGGTACCAGCACCCCTGGAGAATCCCTCGCTGAGCATCCACGACCATGTTTCTCCACTTCTGAGCGTGGGTGCTCAGGCTGCCCCGCGTATTCTGGGGGGGGGCAATATTCCGCTCAAGACTAAAACTGCTCGGGGCAAACGGAGCAACAAGACCAAGGCGACCCCTGCCACGCTGTCCGTGAATTTCTGCAATATCAGGGGACTTCACTCTAACCTAAACGCCGTCCACTACCATCTCGAGACGGCGAGGCCGGCTCTGCTCTTTCTGACCGAGACGCAGGTGTCCTCTCCGGCTGATGTCTCGTATCTCTCCTGCCCGGGGTACAAACTGGAACACTCCTTTGTGCCTCGGGCTGGAGTTTGCGTTTACGTCAGAGAGGACATCTGTTCTCGACGCCTCGGCAGACTTGAAGGTTCGGACCTGTCCATCCTTTGGCTACGCGTAGATAGCGACGACCATCCGCGCGTCTACGGGTGCCTCTATAGGTCCCATAGCGGTAATGCCGAAACAGACCGACTCTTCGACCACGTCCAAATGGCTGCAGATTCGTTGCTACAGCAGATCCCCTCCGCAGAGATCGTGATCCTCGGCGACTTCAACGCCCATCACGCCGAATGGCTCGGTTCACGTTTAACCGATCATGCGGGGAGATCTGTTCATGATTTTGCCTTGGCATATGGTCTGACACAACTGGTTACTTCGCCTACGCGGATTCCAGATGTGGAGGATCATGCACCTTCCCTGTTGGACCTTCTGCTGACCTCTCACCCGGACGGATATCAGATTTCCGTCGACGCCCCTTTAGGCTCCTCGGACCATTGTCTTGTCCGGAGTGTGGTGCCACTCACGCTGAAATCGCGGTTGCATTCTGCAGGCTGCCGCCGTGTTTGGCACTATAGGTCAGCCGATTGGGATGGGATGCGGTCTTTCTTTGCATCCTACCCTTGGGGGCGGGTTTGCTTCTCGCCGGATGATCCCAACGTTGTTGCGGATTCTGTCGCTGATGTGGTACTTCAGGGTATGGAACTTTTTATTCCTTCCTCTGTGGTGCCCATTGGAGGCAAATCTCAGCCATGGTTTGGTCGCTCCTGTAAAATAGCATCATGCTATAAGCAGGAGTGCTACCAAGCCTGGGCTGACGCATCAGCGTCCAGGGATGTAAACACCAGCGCTCTAAAAAAGAAGTATAATTCCGCCTCTAGGTCCTTCAAAAGAGTCATTGCCAAGGCAAAGTCAGAGCACATAGGCAGAATTGGCGAGAGACTAGTTCGTCTTCCTTCTGGAACCCGTGCATTCTGGTCTCTCGCCAAGGCTGTCCAGGGGAATTTCTGTCAGCCATCTCTTCCATCTCTGCACAGGGAGGACGACTCACTGGCCCACACCGCAAAGGAGAAAGCCGATCTTCTAGGCTCTTTCTTTGCGTCTAACTCGACTCTCGATGACGGGGGAGTACGCCGCCGACCATCCCGCGGTGTGAGTGCTCCATGCCGGAAGTGCACTTCACTCAGCGCTCGGTTCGCAAAGCACTCCTCTCCCTGGACATCCATAAGTCGAGTGGGCCTGATGGAATCCCCCCAATTGTGCTGAGGACGTGTGCTCTAGAGTTGGCACCGGTTTTAACGCGTCTTTTCCGGTACTCCTACTCCCTAGGCGTAGTCCCAAAATCATGGAAGACGGCTTTCGTCCACCCGATCCCTAAAAAAGGCGACCGCTCAGACCCGTCCAACTACCGGCCTATCGCCATCACCTCCTTGTTCTCCAAAACAATGGAGTCCATTGTAAACTGCCAGCTCATGAGGTACCTTGAGGATCACCAGCTGATTAGTGACCGCCAATACGGTTTTCGCCGTGGTAGGTCAGCTGGTGATCTTCTGGTCTACCTAACTCACAGATGGGCGGAGGCAGTAGAGTCCAAGGGGGAGGCATTGGCCGTTAGTTTGGACATTGCGAAGGCCTTCGATCGGGTTTGGCACAAAGCGCTTCTTTCGAAGCTCCCTTCCTATGGGCTTCCCGAGAAATTGTGCGATTGGATCACCAGTTTTCTTGCAGATCGGAGCATCAAGGTCGTTGTAGACGGTGCAAGCTCCGATTGCAAGCTTATTAATGCTGGTGTTCCACAGGGCTGCGTGCTATCGCCAACGCTGTTTCTTCTGCATATCAATGATATGTTGCAAACCCGTAGCATTCATTGCTATGCAGATGACAGCACTGGTGATGCTCTTTACACCGGCCGAGCAAATATTTCTCGGGAAAACGTCTCTGAGTGCCGGGACAAACTTGTGTCTGAAGTCGAGTCTCTGCTGGACAGAGTCTCGGATTGGGGGGCGACTAAATCTAGTCCAGTTTAACCCCCAGAAGACACAAGTTTGCGCGTTAACCGCTAAAAAGAACCCCTTTGTCGTATCCCCTCAGTTTCAAGGCACTCCCCTTGTTGCCTCAGCCAGTATCGGAATCCTCGGCGTCGACATATCGAGTGACGTGCAGTTTCGTGGTCACTTGGAAGGGAAGGCCAAATTGGCCTCTAAAAAGCTTGGCGTGCTCAGCAGAGCGGGACAGTATTTCATGCCGGCACACCGCCTGCAACTTTACAAGGCGCAGGTTCGGCCGCTCATGGAATACTGTTCCCATCTCTGGGCTGGGGCTCCCCAGTACCAGCTCCTTCCACTTGACCGCATCCAACGCAGAGCGGCTCGAATCGTCGACGACCGAGTGCTTTCCGATCGGCTCGATTCACTGGCGCTGCGAAGAGATGTTGCATCTCTTTGCGTATTTTATCGCATCTATCACGGGGAGTGCTCTGAGGAATTGTTCGGATTAATCCCAGCCGCCAAATTTCGTGAACGCACTACACGGCAAACGTCCCGATACCATCCACACCATCTGGATGCTTGGCGGTCCACCACTGTACGTTTCAAAAGGAGTTTTCTTCCGCGTACAACCTCTCTGTGGAATAATTTACCACCGGTGATTTTTCCGGACCGATACGACCTGGGGACCTTCAAGAAAAGAGCTTACTCCTTTCTAAAGGGCCGGCAACGCACCTGCAATTCCCCTGGTGTTGCGGTTGATCATGGGCGGCGGTAGTCACTTAACATCAGGTGAGCCACATGCTCGTTTGCCCCCTCTTCTATAAAAAAAAAAAAAAAAAAAAAAAAATCGCGCGCTTTTGCTTTACATGTATTTTCCCATAGACAATTTGGTTTTTGGCTATTTTTTAAAATGTTTTAGACAAATTCAGATTTTTATTATTTACAAACCTTGTCTGGGTTGAGTTACAAATATTGCCGAACAAATTATGTGAATTGGCCTACGAGTTACGGAGGAGATAGATTTCAAAGAATCGTTTTCATGCGCCGTGGGAGCTCCGCTCGCTTTGCTCCAACCAGACCGGCGACCGCGCTCGACAATTTGTTTGCTAACCGTGCCTCTTAAGATCCTACTAATGAGAGAGGCATATGATAAAGAAGAAAAGAAACTAAAATTTACTACGAGAAACATTAAAATCAGCGTTATAATTACGGCTATGTGGTTGTTATAACATGTGTGCTGAGTAGACGCCATTTTAGTTCCTTAATTACTTCGTGTTATGTTAATTTATATTTATATTCGGAACTGATAAAATTATATTACTATTAGTGCTATTTAAAACAAACTAACAGTGCATGGTGCTCTTTTTCCGTTCTGAGATAAGCAGATGAAGTTGCGGGTCACGGTGAGGCCGTAGCGCTTCGTAATATTGTTGCATTTTTCATGGTCCATGAGATGCGCGTGGTACGCCTGGAGAGTTAGTTCCTTGTTCTCGAAGATTCCGTCAGGCTAGTAAATGTAATAATTAGTTTTTTAAATTGCATACATGTTAAGAAATACAATGTAAAATAACGCCGTGTTGTGGCGAATTTCGGTTACGTTGGACAATGTAACGGACCGTGTGGAAATTACTTAATGTGGTTGCCATCATAAACGTGGCAGAGCGATCTTATGGTTGTAGCACGAACGGGTCGTCTCGAGCGGGGAAGGACCACGCTCTCACAGAATACCAGTGGCAAATAGCGATTCATTGCTGCTGTTTCGTATTGTGAGTGTAGAGAACGCATCGTATCCAGTAAAAAGGGTCTCCCCTTTTTACTGGATACGATGCGTTCTTTTTTTTAGTCCTCAGAAGTAACAACGAATCTGCATTTTTATTCTAATTCGAGAATGGATGTGGATATCTATGGGCCACAGCATCCACTTATTGTCATGTGAGCTGTGTGCTCGTTTGTCACACTAATTCTGTAAAAAAAAACCGTCTCTCGTTTCGTGTCTACGTTATATAAAAAAAACAATTGTTACAGATTTTATAGTAATCATAATAACACACCGGAAGCCGTGCTTAAAAATGATCGCGCAGGCTCTGGACCGGGCCATCATCACAGACAGGACTATTCTTGCGAATAAGCCTGATATTGTGCTGATGGACCGGACACAGTCAAGGATGTTTATGGTCGACATTACAACTCCGTACGACGAGAACCTCGTAAAAACCGAAACAGATAAGCGAATAAAATATTTGCGCCTGCCTCACGAGGTGACCGACATGTACGGTGATCTGCCGACCGAAATTATACCTGTAATCGTTCTGCGAACGGGCGAAAACAATATCAATAGCAAATATCAATGATATGTTGCAAACCAGCAACATTCATTGCTATGCAGATGATAGCACTGGTGATGCTCTATACACCGGCCGTGCCAATATTTCTCGGGAAAACGTCACGGAGTACCAGGACAAACTTGTGTCTGAAATCGAGTCTTTGCTGAACATAGTCTCAGATTGGGGGCGACTAAATCTAATCTAGTTTAACCCTCAGAAGACACAAGTTTGCGTGTTAACCGCCAAAAAGAACCTCTTTGTCGTATCTCCTCAGTTTCAAGGCACTCCCCTTGTTGCCTCTGCTAGTATCGGAATTCTCGGCGTCGACATATCGAGTGACTTATAGAGTAAATGAGGTTGGCGTTGTTAGTGACTTTCTGGCAACCCTGAGCAGTGACAAGCCACACTGCCGGAAAAAGTGGCATTGACAGATTTCCTAGGTAGAAAATATGTAGATCCGCGTTTCGCCGCCATCTAAACGTTTTTGTCGGGAGCTGTACAGTCACGTTACTTATAGCCTGGATTTTTTTTAAATTTTCAGCAATATATGTATATCTATGAGATAAAAATATCATTACGTACTATGATTTATACGCTAGTAATAAGTCGATGTTTCGTACTGTACAATAAAAATAACACTTCAAAAGATTTATTTATTTATTTTATTTTTTTAGACAAGTGAAGCCTAAATTTTATTGTAATAAATAAAAAGAATACACGTATTGATCTTGTTATAGAATATTTTCTTTTTTGAAAGAAAGTTTAGAAAAGAAACATTAAAGTTTACATTTTCCTAAGAAATTATCGTCCCCGCTACGAAATCTGTCAAATATTTTACCTCATTGTAAAGTGGCGCCGCCCTGGTGGCTGCCCTCATTAATGACAAATTATTTGATTTTAGCCAAGGAACTATAATGAATATAAGATCATATCAGAAAAATGTTTTTGTCTTTAGTTTCCAACAGGGCCCCAAATTCTTGTGTGCCCAAGGGCCCCGGTATGGCCTAAGACGGCGTTGCGTGCAGTTTCGGGACAGTATTTCGTGCCGACACACCGCTTGTAAACTTTACAAGGCGCAGGTTCGGCCGCACATGGAATACTGTTCAAATCTCTGGGCTGGGGCTCCCCAGCGCCAGCTCCTTCCACTTGACCGTATCCAGCACACAGCGGCTAGAATCGTCGACGACTGAGTGCTTTCGAAGCGCTGCGAAGAGATGTTGCATCTCTTTGCATATTTTATTGCATTTATCAATGGGAGTGCTCTGAATAATTGTAACACTACGCGGCAAACCTCCCGATACATTCCACACCATCTGGATGCTTGGCGGTTCACCACTGTACGTTTCACAAGGAGTTTTCTTCCGCGTACGACCTCTCTGTGGAATAGTTTACCATCGGCGATTTTTCCGGACCGATACGACCTGGGGACCTTCAAGAAAAGAACTTACTCCTTTCTAAAGGGCCGGCAACGCACCTGCAATTCCCCTGGTGTCGCGGATGTTTATGGGCGGCGGTAGTCACTTAACTAAAAAAAAAACGCTACGATCGACGTCGTCGTTATCCATGAAAACTACCTTCAAATTTTAAATATTTACTTTTGGTCTTATCTATGCAGAACGAGCTTACAGCATCTTGAAATATGGCTTTAGTATGTTGAGTTTTCGTTTAATGTTATTAATGGGACGGATCCCATAATTAAAAAGATCCGGATCCGAAAGGACGGATCCCATAATTAAAGTATTAAAATAAAAATAAAATCTTAATCGGAATTAAGATTTTATTTTTATTTTAATAGCGATTATAATCGCGAATCATTCTTAGTAGGAATCGGTATTATTTTTGAAGATTTGTGGTCTATTAAAATCTGATAGAATGTTTGGGACGATCCTGATCATATTTACATTCTGCAGACTTACTGAAGAAAGTTAAACGCGATAAAATCCGTAAAAATAAGTGTTATTCAATGCATTTGCATATACTCGTATACATAAGATATAATTATCTAAAAAAAAACTTAAAACAACTCCATTCAAAATATTTCGTATGGTGGACGGGGAAACTACAAAACACAGCAACCAAAGTAAAACAAAGGAAAAAATTAGGATAGACAGAGAACTTAGATGCGATAAGAATTTTTAGTTATACAATAATCATGACTTTAACAATTTAGATAGAAATTTTGGTGTGAACAAGATACATCTTAGCTCACAAAACACTTTTTTCTACTAAACCAACTTAAACTTTAATAGTTAAGTTGTTTAAATGTAGAGTTTGTACAAAAAAACCGGCACGGAGAAAGGGACAAACAATCACACCGCTCTATCTCATTTCTATGCAAGACGTATGCATAAATCTATCTTTTTCGTGTGCGAATGCGAAAGAAGGCGTCAATTTGTCTATAGGTTTCTCTGTCTACGTATAAGGCATTGATAGTTCAGTAATGGCCGTGTAGTGGGTAAGAAAATACATCACCCGATTTCGCGCCGTGGGAGTGATAAAAGGCGACTATGGGAATTGCCATGCCGTATGATCCAAAAATAAGTAAATTAATATCCGTCACTACCGTTACTGTTACAGCATATTAAAGTCTACTGCTGGACATAGGCCTACCCAATAGATTCATAGGGGGTATATTTGCCACAGTTGCCACGCTTGGCAAGCGGGTTGGCAACCACAGTTTATTTTTATTTTAGTACTTATTAGGAAGACGCTGCTGCTCATCTCCTGACTTGTGTTCCTCTTTCGCCTCTTACGACACCCACGGGATGATATGGGGTTAGTGATATTCTTACACCGCCACTACACTGTAGAATTAATTTTAGTAACACCTATTATTAACTCGTAATTTGGAAGCGCACATTATATGGAAAATTACCCTGTCAGTTCCCCAACTGGTGACCCAGGCATCTTCAAAGGTCGGCATCATGACGCGATTAGGCAGGTCCACGCTGTGCACGCGATCCGAGAATCTACGTAGAGATTTAAAAACAAGTTTTGAATGATGCGAACTTGAATAATAAGAGAAGTATTCGGATTATACACGGAGGCACAGCCTAGGAAGAACATACAGTCAGTCATCGCGTTTGATGTTGCCGGAAAAGCCGACATAAATAATAAATTATTAGTTGTCAGAACGCGAAGTAAAAAAAAATTATAAAACATTTTTTATAGAATAATGATGTCCAACGATCACACAGTCCACCTGATAGTAAATGGTTGCTGTGGCCCATAAACAATTACATCTATCCTCGATTAAGGATCAAAATGCAAATGCATTACCACCCCTGAGGACTAAGACGAAATGTCTCGTTTTCAATAAGAAGGGTCTCCGGTTCTCTTCACTTACCATTCGAAACACAACAGCCTTGAGCTGCTATTTGACAACACTTTCAAAGACTTTCAAAAATTGCGTCGTAAGACAGTTCAATTTTTTTTAATAAATACAAATAGATTTTGAGTTAAGACTTTTTTGTGTGGAAGTTCAAACGTTCTAAAATTATTTTTATTTCGCGTACTTAATAGTAGTTTCATTCACGTTTTCTTTGCGGCTGGTAAATCAGAAATTGGAACATTCAAATGACAATTTCTGCGACACTTGTGTAAGATAAATATAAAATAAGCCGTCAGTCCGTTTCTCCACACTCTTTGAATGTAAAATACAAATGTACTTTGAGGCCACAAAACTAAAACCAATGAGTAAAATTGATTCTTATTCTGTTACGTTTTGAAAACAGTCGTATCTCTCCCTACGTGTTATGCTTTTTTGCTGAAATAAACTAAAATTTCGTTCGAAAAGCTTCTTTTTTAATCTACCACCGTTTCACAATGAAGATCCATTGGCCGGCAAGGTTAAAGAAAAAAGAACTCCGAAGGTAGAGTTTATTATGGAGGAACCGAATGTCTGTTAAGAACTCGTTTATGCATCTGTTGATAAGCAGATCCTGAGTATAATCACGACATAATGAACAAAATTATAACATAAGTAAAAACAAAAATATATATTACACACTCACTGAATGTTTTTATCTAACAGCAGCAGTGCAACGTCGTGGTCGGGATTACGACGCAAACTCCATAATGGATGTCTCATCATCTCCTGAATGCCGGCGGTCTGCCCACCACGGTCCGCGTACCGCGAACCGGCCCTTATTTTTAATCGACTGACACGTTCTGATCTACAATCAGAAAAATAATAAAGATAAACATTCCCTTATTAAGAAAAAAAAACCAGTGTACAGTTTACACGTAGAAGTAGAAACATCTCATTCTTTCGCAGACTAAATATTTAAGTTTTCACTTCAAAAAAGAAAGAAAAAACACTTTGACCACACTACTAGTTTATGACAAAAAAGGTGCATAATAAATTTGACTTTGTACTTCGAAGGCAAGCCTTTATTATACTAATGCATGAGCGTAGCGAAACAAACGTTTTTTTTTATTATTGTGACACAAACAGTCATTAGTCATTACATAGCAAGCACAGTATCCTATACCTTTAATTACGCATATATATTGATATATATATATATATATAATCGGGATCTCGGAAACGGCTCCAACGATTTTCATAAAATTTAGTGTCCAGGGAGTTTCGGGGGGCAATAAATCGAACTAGCTAGGATTTATTTTTAGAAAATGTCCTTTTGTCCCTGTTTTCAGGCAATAAAAAAACTGCTACAATATAAGAAGGTAAATTTTGACAGATCTATGACGATCGTAATAGCTCAGGTGGGATGTCGGTCGGGCGTGATATCGGAGTTTCATGGTTCGCGTCCTGTCTCTGGTCAGGCGTTTATCCTTTTTTGTCAAGTTCCCCTCTTTTGTGAAAAAATCTATTATTTCAAGCCCTTTTTTTAGCATTTTTTAAAAATACGAAAATTTTAATAAAACTAATTGCACTCATGATGAATTGCACTCATGATCAAAAAATATTATTTATGTTTCATCAGTATGTAATTTATAAATGTAATTTCAAAAAAAACCGAGCAAAGCTCGGTCATCCGGGTACTACTATATAAACAGACGAGTGCCGAAAAATACATTTAGCCTAACACTTATTTCAATTAAGCTCGTTGAAAGATTTACCCCTAATTAGTTGAACCTGATTAGTAAATTTATATCGTGTGCAACTAAAAAGCAATATTAACAACAACAGTGCAGCTACGCTTAAAAATAGGCAACTTGATCAAAATTGTTTAAGGACTGACAATTAACACATTATAGAGGTTAATCAATGTTAGGCTATAATGTATTTATCTAAATAACTTTTAAAGTTAGTTTGTTTAAGACTTTTTAAGGAGCCACTAAAGAAATCGAGATTTACGAATTCATTGTATAAATAGTATAATATACAGATAGAAGCTTAACTTAGCATCGATAACGATTTTTTTCGATTAAATTTTGATGTTATTTGTAGGCTTGGTGACCCGATGGTCACTTAAATAGAAAAGAGCAGTGTTGTGGTTGTGTATCCATCATATTTCGTTCCGTGGGTGGCGTAACATGCTGCTATGGGATATCGCTGAGAAATCTTATTCTGCTTCCTTCAATAAACGGCGGTACAACGGAGTAAAATTCACAGACCGGTGATGAAGGGCAGCGTTAAATGAGAACAACATCTTCGATTAAGAATCAAAACGGAGATGCGTTGTCACCCCTGAGGACTAAGATGGAATGCCTCGTTTCCAGTAAAAAAGGGTCTCCGGTTCTCTATACTCACCATACGAAACACAGCTGTTATTCTGTGAGAGCGTGGTCCTTCCCCGTTTGAGCCAACCCATTCGTGCTACAACCATAATACAGCTGCAGCGTGGCTCTACCAACTGGCAACTAAGACCAAATCCTCTATATGAAGCAATCTATGGTTGAGGCTTATATTCCGCAGTGAACTTTCATAGGCTGTAATGGAAAGATTTTCTTTGAATTACAGGACAGTTGGTGGCAGAAATCGTTAGCAAGAAAAGTTAAAGTTGTCAGTAATCATCGCTGCTAATTAAGAACTGCACTGTTGCTAACTACAACATATCGTATGAACTACCTCTGGCCGTGAGAGGAAAAGGGGAGATCTCCCGCCGAGCAAGGTGTTCTGCCCGGGGAGCGGCCAACGCTCCGTTTGATAGTTTTTTTTTCGGAAGCAAATATGGGCAACCCTAGGGGAGGTGTCTCTGCGGGCGTAGTTCGGAGCTATTCTATATATACTGTTTTTTTGCTTCGGAACTTTGATAGCGCGATTTAGGCTTCGATGTGTTACGCTTGTGGCGCGACGACAGCGGCGTCGCATACCCTTCATAGTAGCCAACTGGCTTTATTATTTGTGCCCAGCGTGCTGAGTAAATTAGCTCTTTACTCAGCACGCTTGGCATTCAGGTTGGAAAGCGTAGAGTCGATACCCCGGTACCGGCAACACTCCTTCCCGTTACCAATACGTAACATTCGGATTTTGTCAACAGACAGTCGCTCTATTACCTGTATGTGAAATTATCACTTAGAGAAAAGACTCACATGTCCAGTCTCACTTATAATACACAAAAATAAAATTGTACTCACTTCCAAACGCAGTTGGCCGTCGTTATAACAAGTCGCGGGTTGAGCAACGCGCCGGCGCACCAGTGCTCATTGTCCTTTTGTATAGAAACCACGTAAGGATAATCATCGATCTTCGCGTCTTTCCCGGCAATAAGACGCCTACTTTTATCGACTAACAAACAAGGGGTTCATAAATAAATAAAACTTTGAATCCAGTAATTTATTAATACTTTACATGTTACAATTTATTTACCTTTTTGAAATTGACCTCCGTTTCCTGAACGCTTTTTATCGTTTTGCTTATTCTTTTGTTTTCTATCGTTATTGTTACGTTTTCGTGGTCGCGATTTCGGATTCTTATTTTTAGAACGGTTTTTCTTTTCCGATGACCCAGTAACTTTGCTACGTAAATTAACATCTTTTTGCCTCATGCTACTTTTGTCACCATTTTTAATCTTTTTTACAACTTTTGAAGGACGAGTTTTAGGAGTTACGACAACTTTGGCCTCTCTGTCTATTGGTACTTTACGTTCTATTTTCACCGTTCTCGAATTCTGCCTACGAGCTGGCATATCTTTCTCACCTTTTTTTTCTTTTTCATTAGTATTAATATTTTTTGTTGTATGGTGTATTTCAGGATTTGTGCTACTTGCAGAATTTGCGGATCTCTTGCGTCTCGACAAATTTAATAACCCATAATCAGGTAGCATTTTCTTATAGACTCTATTAGCTTTCTGATCGAAGAACGACTCCAGAGGGAAAAAAGGGCTTTCAGGGATCTTCTTTATAGGAATCGCTGGAAATACAGTATAACCTTCTCTAGTTTCTATGTATCGCTTCTTAGTATTAAGTCTGTAATTTTCCACCGGTAGAGATTTTATAAATCGTTGAGCATTTAATATTTGTATATTTCGATGAACGGGTATCCTCTTCTGTTTTGGGTAGGCTCTTGCCAAAAACCGGGAGTCTTCAAGGGGTGCAACATTGCCAATATTGCCAAGGCAATATGTTTGTAAAGCACAAAAAACGACTGCAACAAGTAATGTTCTCATTGCTGCGCCTCAAGTGTTAACATGGCGAAACTGGTGCAGGTTGTAAAATTATTTTATTAGTATTTTATTGATTTTTGTGATGGTTTCACTCATTGATGCGATAAAATGGAACAGTTTCCAATTTTAGATTAGTATGTTTTAAAATCGCACAATCTGGAAACACTTCACATATACAACCAATTTAAAAATAAAAAGTATACAAACTACGAGTAGCAGTTTATATAAATAAAATACAAATAATTTTCGTGGTGAGACACAAGTATGCCATATCGCTCCGTTGCTTTCGAAGGACTCAGAGAAATGCCTGAAAGATACTAATTAGAATATAGAGCCACGCGGCAGCTTTGCTGTCGCACGGATGGGCCGGCTCAATGGGGGTGGTACCACGACCTCACAGAATACCAGCGTGAATTAGAGTTTCACCTCTGCCCCACCCCAGGAGGGTACCAGCACCCCTGGTGACGGAGAATCCCTCGCTGAGCATCCACGACTAAGTTATCCTACTCTTCCTGAGCGTAGGTGCTCAGGCTGCCCCGCGTATTGGGGGGGACGTAATTCCGCTCGCGACAAAAACTACTCGGGGCAAGAGGAGCAACAACACCAAGGCGACCCCTGCCACGCTATCCGTGAATTTTTGCATCATCAGGGGACTTCATTCCAATCTTAACGCTGTCCACCACCATCTGAAGCCGGCCTTGCTCTTTTTAACCGAGACTTAGGTGTCCTCTCCAGCTGATACATAAAGTCAATTACATTCCTTTGTGCTCCAGGCTGGAGTTTGCGTACATATCAGAGAGGACATCTGTTTTCGACGCCTCGTCAGTCTTGAAGGTATGGACCTGTCCATCCTATGGCTGCGCGTAGACAGCTACGACCAATCCCGCGTCTACGGGTGCCTCTATAGTCCCATATCGGTAATACCGAAACAGACCGACTCATCGACCACGGCCACATGGCTACAGATTCCGTGCTACAGCAGATCCCATCCGCAGAGATCGTTGTCCTTGGCGATTTTAACGCCCACCACATCGAATAGTGGTTCGGTTCGATCATGCGGGGAGATCTGTTTATGAATTTGCTTTGGCATACAACTAGTTACTGCGCCTGCGCAGATTCCAGATGTTGAAAATCAAACACCTTCCCTGTTGGACCTTCTGCTGATCTCTCATCTGGACGGATATCGGGTTTCCGTCGACGCCCCTTTAGGCTCATCGGACCATTGTCTTGTATGGAGTGTGGTACTAGTCACATCAACATCGCAGTTGTATTCTGCAGGCTGCCGCCGTGCTTGGCACTATAGGTCGGCTGATTGGGATGGGATGGGGTCTTTTTTGCATCCTACCCTTGGGGGCGGGTTTGCTTCTTACCGGACGATTCTGGCGTTGTTGTTGATTCTGTCGCTGATGTGGTACTTCAGGGTGTGTATCTTTTTATTCCGTCCTCTGTGGTGCTCATCGGAGACAGATCCGTCCAGATCCGGACAGTTTTTTCTATTTGAACAAGTGAATGCTTATTGTAACTAACAATAAAAATAATTACATAAATATACATTAACGCAAAACTATATGAAAATAGATATAACAAAAAAACATATCACATACAGTACACTCACCGCTATTAACTCGCAAAATGACAGAAAATTGATATAGCCACTCAAATTTATCCCATGAAACACACGAGCACACACACTAGACGAAAGCACTTTTTAGACAAATTAAAGTCTTTTGATCTATTAATACAAAAGAATACAAGCATTAAAAAAAAGCAAATAAGAGGCTATTTGAGTTACCGAATAAAACTTTTAAGATATAACGTGTAACACAAAAAAATGTATACAATCTTATAGTATGAGTTTGTTTTCCATATTTAAATTTTTTATAAGAAGGAGTAATATTTTTACCAAAATAATCAAATACTCACTATTATTAATACCACAAAGATAGTATATAATTCCGACATTATAAAGTATATAAACCTTTTACTTAAAATTAGCAAAAAATGCTGTAATGTATTAACCTATTACTGCAAGATAAGGCGTGTATAAAGAATATGGTTGGTAAGAAGTTATATAGGTTGTTAAACAATAAATTTAGGTTAAAGGACATACCGAGCCTGTAATATTATAATACAAATATGTTATCCATAATATTAACAAATTTAAAGAAAAAATATTATATTTCCTAAACAAACCAAACATTCACTATAACTAAAACTACAAAGTTAATAATATAAAATCGTGTGTAAAGCTTTAACTTAAAATTAGCAAAATAAAATCACAAGTATTAATTTATTAGTAAAAACCACAGTGTATTGACCTATAACTGCAAAATAAAGCGTGTATAAAGTATATTGTCGGTAAAAAGCTATATAGATTATTATCAATAAAATTAACATTAAATAACAATAAACAATAAAATTAACTTAAATGTGGCATAACATACGGTGTCCCTAATGTCACATTGTAATACAAATATGTTAGCCATAATATTAAAATATTTAAAGAAAAATTAACATCTTTCTAAAACCAATCGAACACTATTACTAAAGTAACAAAAACCAAGGTACATAAACATTATACTATAATCAACCAACTCAGAGTTAGCAGAAAACACGACTTAGGTCTGTATCAGATCGGATACGTGTTACGGGCTTTCCGTCTTCCTTCCTTACGAATATTTGAGCACCCTTTGTCCATGTGTAAAGCCAACTTGCCATTTTTGCTGCTTCAAGTGTCTTTCCAAACAATGTCCTATTGACGGGAGTGAGCCGCTGATTATTGTAAATCGTTATGTTGCGTCGCACCCGAGCACAACGTCGGAACTCGTCCCAAACCGAACGCCGACTCCTCCGCACCACAATCTTGCGGGGTCCAGTAGACATGAGTTTTTGAGCGCTATTGTTATTATAATCACTCGTGTGGCCGTGGAAGGAAAAGGGGAGATCTCCCGCCGGGCAAGGTGTTCTGCCCGGGGAGCGGCCAACACTCCGGGTGTTCGGAGAAGTTCTATATATACTGTCTATGATTCAGAACGTTAATAGCGCGATTTAGGCTTTGGTGTGTTTCGGTGTGCTAGTGGCGCGACGACAGCGCCGCTACACTCGTTATGTTGCGTCGCACCCGCGCACAACGTAGGAACTCGTCCCGAACCGCACGCCGACTCCTCCGCACCACAATCTTGCGGGGTCCAGTAGACATTAGTTTTTGAGCGCTATTGTTATTATAATCACTCGTTATGTTGCGTCGCACCCGAGCACAACGTAGGAACTCGTCCCGAACCGCACGCCGACTCCTCCGCACCACAATCTTGCGGGGTCCAGTAGACATTAGTTTTTGAGCGCTATTGTTATTATAATCACTCGTTATGTTGCGTCGCACCCGAGCACAACGTAGGAACTCGTCCCGAACCGCACGCCGACTCCTCCGCACCACAATCTTGCGGGGTCCAGTAGACATTAGTTTTTGAGCGCTATTGTTATTATAATCACTCGTTATGTTGCGTCGTACCCGCGCACAACGTAGGAACTCGTCCCGAACCGCACGCCGACTCCTCCGCACCACAATCTTGCGGGCTCCAGTAGACATTAGTTTTTTGAGCGCTATTGTTATAATAATCACTCGTTATGTTGCGTCGCACCCGAGCACAACGTAGGAACTCGTCCCGAACCGCACGCCGACTCCTCCGCACCACAATCTTGCGGGGTCCAGTAGACATTAGTTTTTGAGCGCTATTGTTATTATAATCACTCGTTATGTTGCGTCGCACCCGAGCACAACGTAGGAACTCGTCCCGAACTATACGGACGATACGAACACGTATTGATAGGATTTTCACCTTTTTTGCTCCGGTAACCCCGAAATCTCCAGGTCATTGACGAGGAGGTCCTGATCTCTCTCATTAAGTTGAACCTTAAGTTTACTAATCGTATCCTCTAGGATTTTAGTGTCGCACTTAATCAGACGTTCTTCATATAGTTTTTCCAACTTGGTGACTCTGCAATCCATTTCCTCCAAGTTTTTATTACACGCAAGAACTGTATCCTTTAGCATAGTTATATTGTCCTTGACTTCCTTCAGCTCATTCCTCATAGCGCTAACTTCATTTCGAAAAAGACGAATTTCTAAACCTATATCAATATCTTTATGGAGAGGGCTACATTCACAAACTTCTTGGCACTTAACCGGTGTGTTGGAATCGTCTCCAGTGCGAGTAACCTTATTTTTACAAGCAGGGCACAACCATGAAGCTGATATCTTCGTCTTTTCAGAGAGGTTCAGACAGCCTCGATGATAGGCTACATCACATTTGTCACATATAATACCATCTTTCGTCGGCAGGTAGCGACCACAAGCTCCACACTTGACCATGGTGATTTGATTGAGATAGACTTATTTATATCGCGTTTATTTATTTACGTACGTTGCAGCGTCTTATTTACTATCAGTAACCGAGGAGGGCAATAAACACCAAACTATTGATAATTTTTTATAAATATTATAAATAAACTAGAATTAAACTTTAAGAGTTAAATAAAACAGTAATTATTGCAGAACAACAAGTAAACATAATGTTTGTTAACAAATGAATATGTAACACGAACAGAGTAAAGTTACCATTTTGACAGAAGCTAATTCGCTTTTCTTCAAGAACCCGTGCATTCTGGTCTTTTGCCAAGGCTGGCCAGGGGAATTTCTGTTAGCCATCTCTTCCATCTCTGCATAGGGAGGACGACTCACTGACCCATGCTGCAAAGGAGAAAGTCAATTTGTTAGGCTCTCTCTTTGCGTCCATCTCGACTCTCGATGACGGGGGGAACACACCGCCGACCATCCCGCGGTGTGAGTGCTCCATGCCGGATGTGCGGTTTACACAGCGCTCGGTTCGGAAAGCACTCTTCTCCCTGGACGTCAGCAAGTCGAGTGGGCCTGATGGAGTACCGCACCGGTTTCAACGCGTCTTTTTCAGTACTCCTACTTCCTAGACGTAGTCCCGAATTCTTAG